ATCAATAAACGTCTTATAGTTTTGCCATTACCTGCTGTATCTGAAATAGGATTCCTGACAGTTTCTTTACTCTTTCATGTTACTTGTTTTTTAAAATGGATTGACTTCCCCAAGCATTCCCTCTACCCCCACTTTGCAAGCTTAAAGTCCTTGCGACCATCCTATTTAGCCTTTCCACAAGGACATTTGTCCTCGGTCAGTTCAGGTGGAGCCCTGTCCCAACAGTTCCTTCCTGTCCCAATATTGATGCCAGTGTCCCGTGAAAAGTAACACCTCTCTTCTGCACCACTCCTTTGACCACATGTTTACGTCCCTAAATTTCTTACCTATATGCCAGTTTGCACATGGCTCAGGTAATAATCCAGAGATCATAAATCTTGATGTTCTGTTCTTTAAATTTGTTCCTAATTTCTGAAATTCCCCAAACATGACCTGTTGCCTATTCTCACCTATGTTGTTGGTCCCAATATGACCCTCAGCAAATGGATCCCTCTCCTCTCTCTCCACTATCCTTTTAGGCTGGTTCAAGATGTCCCTTACCTTGGCACCAGGTTAACAACATGCCATGTGGGACTTTCAGTACTGGTTACAAATGATGCTATGTGTACCCCTAATTATTAAATCCTCTATCATTACCACTTTTCTTTTTGTTCCTCCCACTTGAATGGTATCCATGGTCTGTTTGCCCATCCTCCCTACAGTCCTTTTCCTCATTCCCACAAGGAGCAGGTACCGCATACCTGTTGAACAAGGTTAAGAGCTGAGGCTCCTCCAATGGGCAGATGGCAGAAGACTGGAGAATTGCAGACATTATGGCCTTGTTCAAGAAAGGTTGCATGGATTGTTTTTTCAACTACATAGTAGTTGGGGAAACGTTTATTCAGGATAGAATTAGTAGTCACATGGAAAAAGGCGTGTTGATTATGACGAGTCAGCGCAGATTTCTAAAGGGGAAATTGTATTCAACTAATGAGATTTTTGAAGAGGTAATAGTCAATGAGAATAACGCTGTTGATGTAGTATATCTGGATTTGAGGAAAGTTATGGATCATGGTATAATGAACAGTAGTAGCATGAATAAAAATTGGCTGAGTGATAAGGAACAGTGAAATGGACAAGGAATGTTTTTCAGGGTGGAGGAAGATCTGTAGTGGAGTTCCCTTGAGATTGGTATTGGGATCCTTGATTTTCCTGATGTGTATTAGTAGTCTGGATCTTGATATGCAGGGGCAATTTTGAAGTTTGCAGATGAAATGAAACTTGGAGGAATTGTAAACTGAGGAGGACAGTGGAATGTCGAAAGGACATTGACAAGTTAGTGGAGTGGGCGAAAAGGTGGCGGATGAGGTTCATTTCAGAGAAGTGTGAGGTGATATTCTGGTCAGAGGAACATTGAAAGTCAATGTACAGTAAGGGATGGGATTCTAAATGGGATGCAGGAGCAGAAAGACCTGGGTGTACATGCGCACAGTTTCGTTGAAGGTTGTAGGACAGATGTAGAGAGCAGTTCATTAGACGTATGATGTTCTTGCCTTTATTAATAGGGGCATGGAGTACAATACAAAGGTAGTGATGTTGAACTTATACAAGGCAGTTGTTAGATGTCAACTGGAATACTATGTACAGTTGTGGGTGCCATATTACAGGAAAGATGTGAATATATTGGAGAGAGTGCAGACGTGATTGCATATTCAGGGAATGAGAAACTTCAGCTATGAGGATAGATTGAAGAGGTTGGAACTATTCTCCTTAGAGAGAAGGTGTCTGAGAGGACATTTGATAGTGGCTTTCAAACTCATGAGTAAGGTGAGCAGAGTTGATAGAAGATGTAACTGCTTGGAAAAGAAAAAAGAATGAGAGAGAATAGATTTAAAGTGATGTGCAAATGAAGTAAAGGTGATGTGTGGAAAAACTTTTTCACCCAGAAAGTAGTTAATATGTGGAAAGCACTACCTGGAAGTGTGGTGGTGACAGGCTCAATTGAGGCATTTAAGAGTACATTGGATGTTCATTTGGATAGAAATGATGTGGGGAGATATGGACAATGACAGGAAATTGGCACTTGGTAATAGAACCGTTGCAGGCACGATGGGCTGAATGACGACCTCCTGTGCTGTAACAGTTCTGTGATTCTGGTAAGACTATACTTGCAAGCAAAGTTTCAAATAAAGCAAAGTACTTATGAGCTAAGCGAGTTAGTGTCAGGCAAATAAAATCTGTTGAATCATTTATAAACGATTTAATACAAATTTATATAATTTATATAAGTGATTTGGATGTGAATGTAGGAGTTATGGTCAGTAAGTTTGCAGATGACGCTAAAATAGGTGCTGTAGTGGAATGTAAAGATTATCTCAGAGTACAATAGGACCTTGATCAGATAGGCCAATTGGCCAAGGAGTGGCAAAAGGAGTGTAATTTAGATAAATGTGAGGTGTTGCATTTTGGTATGGCAAACCAAGGCAGGACTTGTACAGTTAATGGTAGGGCCCTTGGAAGTGTTGTCGAACAAAAAAATGTTGGGGTGTGGGTGCATAGTTCCTTGGAAGTGGAGGCACAGGCAGATGGGCTGGTGGTGGCGGTGTTTGGAATGCTTGGCTTAATTGGTCAGTGTTGAGTATAGGAGTTGGGATGTCATGTCAAGGCTGTAAAGGACATTGGTGAGGCTGCTTTTAGAATACTGCATTCAATTCTGGGTGTCCTTCTATAGGAAAGATGTTCTTAAACTTGAAAGCATGCATAAAAAAAACTTAGAAGGATGTTGCTGGGACTGGAGGGTTTCAGTTTCAGGGAGAGGCTGAATAGGCTGCGGTGTTTTTCCCTAGAGCATAGGAAGCTGAGGGGTGACCTTACAGATGTTTATAAAATCATGAGGGGTATGGATAGGGTGAATAGCCACGGCATTTTCCCTAGAGTGGATGAGTCCAAAACTAGAGGGTATATATTTAAGGTGAGAGAGGAAAATTTAAAAAGGACCAGAGGAATAATGTTTTCTCACAAAGGTGGTACGCGTATGGAACTAGCTGCCAGAGTAAGTGGTGGAGGATGGTACAGTTACAACATTTAAAAGGCATCTGGATGGTTTTGTGAATAGAAAGAGTTTGGAGGGATATGGGCCATATGCTGGCAAATGGTACTAGACCAGATTGGGACCTCTGGTCGGCAGCAGCGAGTTGAACTGTGGTCTATTTCTGTTCTGTATGTCTCCACTTAAATTCTACCTGAATGCAAAAGCAAAATACTACAGATGATGGAAACTGAAATAAAACAAAAATTGCTTTAAGCACTCATGCAAACAAATTAGGAGCAGGAGTAGGCATTTGGCTGATCCGACGGTGCCCTTAACTCTACATTCCTGTCTATTCCCTAACAACTCCCTAATTTCTGACCCCAATATTCAGCAAGTCAGGTAACATTTGGAGAAAGAAACAGAGTTAATGAATCAGGCTTGTGAACTTTTAAGGATCTGATGAATAGAACAGAATATTCTTTTATTGTCATATGAACGCTAGTACAGGTGTACTGTGAAAAGTTATTACAATGGCTACCATTAATGGTGCCGTCTTAGGTACAGTTACATAGGTACAAATCTTACAGTAACAAAAATGTTGTTACAGTGTGAAAAAAATAGATTAGCATGAAAATGTCCAGAATGATAAGAAGTAACCGTAAGTACTTAAGTTCCAGTCTGTGCCTGCAAGCTCCAGAGCTTGAGGCCATGCTGTCTCCACGAGCCTGCTTTCATCCAGGACTCGCTCTGCTGCCGCCCCAGGGCTCGGCCTGTACTCGCTCCGCCACGGGACTCGGCCTGTACTCGCTCC